AATACCACAGTTTGTCTTCATTCCGCTCATAAAAATAATTCCGACATAAAAAAAACTTTCAGGGGCAGAAAAGAAATAAATTAAATCTATTCGAAGGTGTTTAATTATTGACTGTTGTATTACTATGGTGATAATTTGAAAACAATTATTTTTAAGTTTTTTCATTAGTCGAGTGCATCCATTTTCGAGCGAAACAAAATACTTCAAGGCAGGTAGGTTGACATTGTTCAAGTTTGTTGCAGGGATAATAAATAATTAAATATGTTTCCTCGTGGTTCTTTTCGTAGTCCCCAGCTAGGGTCTCGGGGTCCAGGCCTGTCCAAGTGGTGTTCCGCGCCGTCTGCCACTACATGCGGGACACTGGGTTGGGCCCAGATGGGCCTGCATGGTAATTCCAGGGTGTCAGTCCAGTGCTCCCACTGGACTGACACCCTGGGGGGGCGTGGTGAACGAGGTTGAGCCTGTACGAGTGGGTCCCGCGGGCTGTGTCACCCCCTGTGCTTGGCGAGGCCAAGCTCCGAGGGATGGGGACCTCGAAGAGCGCCCGTCAACCAACACCAGGTCAGGCGTTGAGAAAGGTCCGTTGGGGATTTCCACGAAGACGAGGTCTCGCGGCAGGACATGTCTGTCGGTCGCCGATGGTAGTGCGCGAGCTCCCGCTGGTTTTATACTCAGGCGTCCCCTGATGGTATCCCTGGAGATCGTCCTGTTCCGCACAAATTCGGGTGCGAATGTACGTCTTGTACACACCGAGCTTCGCACGGAGGGGCAATCGGGACGACAGTACGAGCCGCAGGAACCTGGGCAACAACGTGATTGACGTGAGGCTTCATGGAGAGGGTGCGGTCGATGGTCACGCCGAGGTATTTCACCGTCGCGGACCACTCGATGTTCTCTCCCATGAGTTTCAGCTGTGGTACGGTCTAAAGTACTTATCCCATCTTTTATACCATTCATTAATGCTACTTGTCAACATGTGTGCAAGACTAAAAACACGTTTCAGTGTGTTTATTTTGTACTAAAAGAAGCCTATTTTCGACGTGCCCGCTTAATTTGACATGGATGAAGTCTTTGGTGGTCAAAGAGTTAATCATTCCTATATATGTGTTACGTGTGCGTTACCCCAGCAAAATAATTTCGAAAATGGTCATTTAAACGTTATAGATAATTAGTTGCCCCCTTCTGTAATTGTGAGGCACATTTTTGTTGTCTCTGCACAGTTGTGAGATCGAAAGTTGATCGGAACCGAATTGAGATCGAACTTTTATTTCGAGAATTGACCTTCTGAATGCGGACCTCCTTAATAAGCTAGAAAAGTCTTGTTAATAACTGCATTCGATAAAGATTCAATCTTCGCAAGAATAAACATGTATCTGCAGTACTTTCCTAATGCAGTACGATCCCAAACAATGGTTACCTATTCTCAGCGAACTTTTCCCTTTTCATTCCTCAACTGTCTGTTCTCGCCCACTTGCTTTGATCGCTACTTCCGTTTCTCGTCCTCTAATCACAACAGAAATCTTCGTTCGACAAATAATTCTCTTTTCGTATGTCCCTCCCATAACTCACACTTCGTGTTACTTCTTTGTGTTAGCAGTTCTGCTCTGGAATGCGCTCTCTCTCTTGAAATCAGGATGTACACAAACCCTTCCTCATTTAAAAAGAAAGCAGATGATTACCTTCTTGATGAAATGGCGGAATTACTTTATTAATAATTTGTACACCACTAGTATTCAGTGTACGAATATTAAGTACCTATATGTATTTGTATATTTATGTATGTATGTATGTGTTCCTTTTGTATATTAATTGGCTAAAACAACCTTATAACCATTGTTTACAAATGTTACCTCTATGCACCCACATACAAGATTTGTACACCACCCAAAGGTTGGCTGGTAGATAGTGCCCAGGGTATAAAGTCCGCTAATGTACATAAATGCATAAAGTTGTAAATAAATAATAGGTACTTTATCGAATATGATTTGTCTCACAAACTGTTTAAATCTAAAAAAAATCCTTAATGTTTTATTTGAATAATAATGCACAAATAAACACCACAACAAAATACCTTACAGTAACATTAAATTGTTTTTAAGTACGATTTTATGTATACCTTATTACCTTACCTGTTAACCTTAGAAGGTTATAAACCACCTTACCGATGCTATCCCTTAATTCTCACGGTATCTGTGACCGTCGATTATGAAATAACGATTAAGCTGCAGCTACAAGCTCTTGTTATGTATCGACATATGGAATCTATATATCTCCACAGGCACACAGGTACTAAAGTTCGGTAATTCGACAAGAAATCTCATGGGTGGCCATGTTGGGCATTGGTTTTAACTTGACGGTAGCGACTTAAAAAAAGTCTAGGCTAATCCCAAATAATAAATTAAATTAAATTATCACAGGTGTAGTAGCTCACAATATATTTTTTTACATTTTGATCACTTAGATTCTATAAGCTTTTCAAAAAATCTGTAAGTACTATTAACTGTTATTAAAATAAAATAAAAACAGCGGCACTCCGGGAGTGCCGACAGAAGTGAGAACTTAAAAAATTTCATAACAGGAAAAAAATGATTTCTTCGATTCGAACAGTTAGACATGAATAAATATCTATGTTGTACGTATATACACAATATATGTTTATATTATATATAGTAATATTATCAGTGTATTTCAACCCAAAATGAACTCTCGTGTAAACGGGGCCAATATATGTAGATAATTATATACAGAGATATCGTTAACAATAAGTGTCGCGATTCCAATGGTTTCTTCCCATCTCAAAAAAAACAATCTTTTGTTTGTTGTTCAAAAATGCCCAACGCGCCTAAAGTAGTTTTTACTTTAAAAACGTTGGAGTATGTGAGTTACTTAAGAGATGAACAGCAGTATAAAAAGTTATTAAGTGGTGTTATCTCAACAGAAAACACACTTTTTTTTGTAAAAAAAAAGACTAACCAATAAATCGTTTGACGCGAGGGCCTTTGCATAGTACGTATGTAAAGGACCATGTAACGGCCACAAAGATGGCTCAAAACAACTGTTAGGGATTAAGTGATCCACATAGTTTTGTCCCTTAATCCCCATCGAATCCACAACACTCAGCGCAGTAAGAAGCAGCGAAATGACCGCTTAAACCACTACACCATCCGGGCAGTCATCTAGGCATCTATGCCCTTGAAACTATACTGTAAGCTTTCAATGTTTTCTGACCAACAGATAAACTTACCTTGTATGTACAGATCTGTTTTTAGCCAAAGATTTAAATGGGTAGGTAGATATACTCTTAAAAGTGTAAGCATTTCATTAGATGCTCATAGAATACCTACACCAGCTTTTGTTTTAATATGCGTAGCATGCTTTAAGAGGCTTAAGTTTTATAGGACCAAATGTATCTATCAATTTACATCTTTGTTTTCAGCATATAACGATAACGAGTATCCAAGTTCCATTTATTGACAACCAATAAATAATTATTATTTTTATAAAAATAACTTTATAATTATTTTTCCGCATTGACAATACATAATAGCTCTTTTTTTATAAACAAATACATGATGTTGGGAATTTCTGGATCAAAATAATAATTAACGATTTTAATGACAGGCTTTAATCCAGTATCACTTCTAAGAGAATTTTATATAGAAGGTATACATAATTTCTCAATGAACTGTTCGTGTGAAATGAACAGAATTCACTTTCCTTACTAAAATAATACAAACTAAAACATATGTAAAACAAAGAACATATCTAGAATGCATTAGCAAAATTAACTAGAAATTATTTTACGGTATTAAAATACCGTTGTGGCACTACTACTAAACTTCTACACAAAATTAAGAACAGATTCCAAATATTTTATTTATTGTAAACAAAAGGCACTTTAAAATTAAGGTGGGGGTAGTGATATACCAATAAAAATATATTTAAAGTCAGAACAAGTTATCATGGAAATTTCCTTACATTTGTCAGCAAATTTCTCTCGTCACACTGCAGTTTCACTTAAAAGTAGAAAATATATTTTAAGTTTTTTTATAACATATATATATGTACACATGTTAAAAAATTCAACAAGGAACAATCCATATATTCCTATAACTTAGAAATAATTGTGTCTACTATCATCACCCAGGTCATCATAATCCAGGTCAATTGAAATATATATAAAGTTTTGGTTAAGTCCATTATAGAACAACAATTTTTGCCAGCAAACCTGCATATTTTGTATAAAATATATATAACAATACAACGGTTAAAGCCAGCATGGAGCAGATTGAACTCAATGCCACGAGAGAACTCATTCATATAACTGTCCTTTATATTGATGTAAAAAAATGTATACAAAATGTCCACACCTTATTTGATTACAATTTCTGCAATACAAAAGTTATAAGTCACCACTGATATTATCAGTTATTCATATTAAATACATAATAATATCATAGTCACTGATGATGTGGTACCATGTCACTCACTCAGTGCACGTGTAGATATTTCATCGTTTCTCACCAGTTTGTAAACCGTAAGGATCAACTCCTCTCACCACAGAATTTTCTAGTTATAAAAATTACTATATTTTATCGATTCAGTCCACAAATTTGAAATAAAGTCCACAATTACACTCGCCGTTTCATAATGCGTTACTAGAACGTGACGACTGTTGGTATTTAGTTAATGTTCTGTTCACTAGGCGTTTGTTTAATTAAACGTTCTTCCAGTACGAATATTATTTAGCACATTTTAATTTGTTGAAAGTTTTTAGCGATGCACTGTTTAAAACAATCAATAATATCTATGTTACATTAAAATTGTTCAGGTTGAAATGCGACCACCGCTAGCCGCATTATTAGGATATCATCCTTGTTTCCTGTTCATGTATGTCCACTATACATACAGTTATGTAGCGCGGTACCAATTAGTTAACTACTAGTTGTCTATGGGGAGAAGCCAGTCCTCGAATTGTTGTCACACATCGCGGGCGTCAATCAATTGCGAGGACGTCCGCGACCGCGCGATCCATCTCTATCCTGCAACAAAAACCAATATTTAATAACCGCAAAAATTAGTAATTTTATTTCAATGGCAGAATGTTGATAACATAACGAACCTTTCGTGGTCTATTATAATCACGGTCACGATACATATTTGACAGCGGACCGTCACGCGCATACATGCCTGAGTCATTACGATCACTATGATCATTATAGTCACGCGAATCCTCGTCGAGATCTAGAGCATCGCGGGGGTCACGGTAGTTGCGATTGTCTCGATGGTCCCTGGAGTCGCGCCCATCGCGGTGATCGCGACTGTCGCGCCCGTCCCGACCTTCGCGTGCCTCACGACCGTCTCGACCGTCACGACCGTCCCGACCGTCACGTCCGTCCCGCTTGTCACGGTAATCGCGGTAGTTACGATACCCACGACCACCGTCATGATCATCGCGGTTATTGTCTTGACTTGGAAGATGAGGAATCTTGCGAGAATCCTCCTCTTCCTGACGCCTCTCGTAGTGAATAAAGTCATCGAAAATAGACGTCGAATGGCAATAGCAGTGCATAATACGTAAGACTTGCTGTCCCTTTGCATGTGGCACCTCCTGGGTGTCACGAGAGTTTGTCACCGGCTTATTCTCGTTATTTTCTAATTTGATATGACGCAGTTGCACGTTTGGAACGTCCTTAACATAAATCCATCTCACACGGAACTGTCCCTTCCACTTGTCTTGAGACCACACGCTCGAGTTAGAATTATAATCAACCGCACTCGTCATGCGAGCCATTCCACAGAAATGGCCGCTCCCATTCACGGAGAAGAAAAGGTAAACGCAACCACCCTCTCTCTCACGTTCACGAAACGCTGCATCTAGACGCTTGTTGCCGTGCTCCGTACTGCACCATATTTCGTATTTGATACTGCGATGAATATCGTCTTCAGAGTACGACTTGATCACGAAAAACCGAGCAAGTGGGGCACTTAAGTCGAACTCTTTCGGATTGTAATCGTTTTTGACTCGTAATTCATCTAAGACAGGGTGCGGTATTGCTTGTGGTAGTGGAACCGCAGCTACGGGAGGCACAGCAAGCTGCGGGCGGGGCTGATGTGGTTGCGGGGGCTGGTGTGCCTGGTGAGGTTGGTGCGGAGGTGGTGCACGTGGTGCATGTGTCCAAGCAGGTGGTGGCTGATGCTGCGGTTGGGGCCCACGCTGCTGCTGCAATGGAGCGGGCGCTGGTGATACCGTTGGAGGTTGCGCAGGCATTGGCAACGGCGCGGGAACCGAAGGTGGCTGCAGCGGCGGCGGGGGAGGCGCAGTCACTACAGGAGCGCTCTTACCGGCATCCCACGTGCTAATGTCCATGTTATGCTTTCCGGGCACAATTGGTGGGGGCGGCATGCCCGGCCCCTTCTTCTTAACCGCACCGCCCTGCGAGGAAGGTGCAGGTTTGGCAGGCTGGCTAGCTATCGAAGCCCACGTCATCTTTTTTGGTTGAGAGCCCCCGGATACATCTTTGAGTTCCGGGGGACGATCTTTCTCCGTCTTGTGGTCGCCGAGCGAGAGTGCCTGCACGCCAGTTTCGACCACTTTGATGCCGTCGGGCACATACAGGCCATCGGCCCTGTATGTACTGTAATCATCATACTGCTTCGCGCGACCTAGTTGACCCCAAGTAGAGTAGTCGCCGTTGCCGTGAAAATAGTTAAAAGTAGATGCCGGTTGGCCAAATGCTGCGGTTGAGAATGGCGTTGTTGACGGTCCAAATACACCTGTAATCGTAACAAATAATGGATTATTTCAAATAGTTGTATGATATTCTTTTCAATTTATTACATGTTTAATGACGTAATGCAATACATAGAATATGGTGTACATCATGAAAAGTAAGATAGATGTGAATTTATAGAAGCAAGGTACGTAATCAAATATTATTATTTCTGCGTCGTAAAGTCACTGATTTAGGGACTAGGGAGATCACGATATGCCGGCATTTTGTGATTCAGCCGATTATAAAAAGATGTGTACAAAATAGGACAGACCGACGAGAGCAACCTATAAATGAGTAGAGCGTCCAACTGTCACTCACTGGCATTCTAAATATCTTTTACCTAATAAAAAAATTATGCAGCTTTTTAATATTAAAAAATATTTTGTTTAATCAAACCTTTTTTCCACTTATATTATTAAAGCAGATGTTTGACTGGTTAAATCTTTTCTAAAATATTTTTTACTACTGAAATAATTTTTACTAAACTTGACGACTTGATGATTGTACTGTACAATCAACTAAAATGGGAGTAGAGAAACGTTATTCGACGGTAAACCTAGAAATGTCGGCATATCTTAATCTACTGAGGCAGATCTTAATCAACCCAGTTCAACGATAGACTATATTGGCCAACGAGTTAGAATAAATTAAAAAAAGTAAGATGATGAAAATAGTGACATCTTTTCTCTTGTTACTGAATTAATACTAGCTACCATCCATTCCATAAGAATCGTGAGGATTGTATCCTCCGAAAGGCATCGGGTCTGTTCCATTGGTGGACCATGTCCCATCCCCGACTCCAAAAGCTTGATAAGGAAGTGCTGTTGTACCGTAATAACCTGAAATAACGAAAAATATTTGTCTCTAAACAAATATCTTATTTCATTTTAGATACAAAAGATGTTTTTTTTAATTTGTTTAATAAACCAGTGTAATCATTTTTAATCATTTGTTTAATCAAATTGTCAAAAAAGGTTTTATTTGTAAACAGAGTAACACTTTTCTTTGTAACGCTTTCTGAAATAAGTTTAACCCTGAACAACAACAACAACATAGCTCAATAACTATTCATACTTCAGTATGGAGACCTACCAAGTACAATAATAGGTATGGTGCCAGCACTCCGAAAATTTGGCCAAGGTCCAAGGCAGGTCTTCAGCAATTCAAGTGAAGAACACAAAAGTCTTGATTACCGTTCTACAACTAGATGGGCTTTCTAATCTGGTCATAGCCTACCTTCAATATTATACCCATATTGTATTAGCCCTACTTAATATACTTAATATTTAGTGCTCCAGAAAATAGAATACTGGCTAGATTGCAATGAAATAAAAGATTATAGATAGCCATTTTATTCTCACAATTTTTTTTCCTAAAATTCTATTTATCTAATGATACTATTCAAGGGCTTGCATTATAATATCTAAAGTATAACAAGTATGTAGTTGCTATGTATATAAATACATAATTGGTTTATTTCATATTTTACCATACCATCATTACAGGTTTTTCGCAAATAATTATGTCGTGATTTGATAAACAAAAGATTCAATGCATTTCAAATGACACTACTTAAATATTTAGCCAGTAGTAAATTAAATTACAGTCGGTCTACTTATATCCAGCAATAACTATATAACAAAACGTATGTGATGCAACATTCTTTGTTAGCGCACCTTTTTAAACCGTTGACCTTCCTATCCATATTTAATTATTCTTGTTATTTGGAAAATAGCATTTATTATCTACAACATACCAAGTTGCAGAATAAATTGCAAAATGTGAATTACGATGTGTGGACTTGCAAATATCATAATCCTTTTATTGTTGTATTAATAAAGTTTGCATTTTACTTTAAATCCTTGTAGGATATTTTAATTACATTTGCGTGTTAATTAACTAACATTATGAACACGCAAATATTTAGCATTTAACTTAATTTAATAAAATGAGGTAGTGTAGTGAGAAACTAAAGATGACACTAATTACATCAGATTTCATGACTAACTACATAAACTTAATATATGCCTATATCATAAAAAAGAGATATCGAAATTTATGTACCTACCTGCCACGCTGTAGGGATCGGCTGCTGACGAGATGGGTGGTGCATATGACGGTTGCTGCTGGTGGCGCCATGACACCTCGGCCAACTCGTCACCTCCACTTTCTAAATGTTGCTCTTTCGGTGCATTTGTCACTGTGAATTATAATATTTTTTATTAACCATATTTTAACTATTACCATTACTATTTTGCATAAAAAAGCATTGTCAAATGTTAAAAAGTAAACTAAATGTTCTAATGCTGTTACTAGTAAACAACCGACGACTTTTAGGTTAAATGCTAATAAAATCGTCAGTATAGTAATTTGAGAACTACATATTATAAAACTAGTAGCCATTAGAATGAATGTTAGAAGCCAGTTTCGACAGTTGATATCTTTCTTCTAGTAGCATGTCCAATCCCAGGATGTACATTTATCCTGACTTTTCCAGCCACTGCAGGCACAGTCCTATATGCCCATCCAATATTCATAGTCTCACTGGCCTTAGATCCCTAGGTCTATCCATTACTTTACCTCAATTTACTTTCACCCTTCGATTATATTCCCACACTCCCAGTCATCCATCAGACAGGCCATAAAATAAACCAGACATTTCATTGTTCATGTCATTAAGTGTTACATATCGTGCTGACGCCAAATAGTGTCTGTGTAATGGAAGCATTACATTGATTTACTAACTATGAGTCAGAGTAGACTTACAAGAAAGTTTTTAATCACTATCTCTAAACCTAAGGTTAAACTTCATTTTGTGTTGAGTATATCATCTTTTACTACAAGATCATTCGTTTCACAGTACATAATTAGATAACTATGAACAGTATGTTGACACATCAGAAGAACAATAAGACAAGATAACATTGCAATTAAATTCTAATTATGATTAAATATTCAATTTGGCTTTGTATACAAATTGGGTACAAAGTAAAATCCTTTTATAATGGACTAGATTATTGTTAGATTCATTAAAGGTATTAGGATAATGCAGAGTATTTAAGTTCTAACAAACTGGGCATGTAAAATACAGTAAACATGTCAAAAGTCTAACCTATAAGAACATACAAATCTATCTATTTTATAACTTAACAATTGATTGAAAATGAGTTTATCGGACTCATGAAGTTGCAGCCAAAATGTCACTAATACATTTACTAAATATTAGTATCTGATTATTGATCTGAAGTATTCCTTTACAGAATAGTATGTCATTCTTTAGACCCATTAACAGGGCTGTATGTGATGTGGCCTGACATTCATTATAATGATAAAGATAATTGAAACAGTTAAACATTATTCCTCAGACTGCACGGATGGCGTAGTGGTTTAAGCGGTCGCCACGCCGCTTACTACTACACTGAGTGTTGTGGGTCCGATCCCCACATGGGACGACACTTTGTGTGTTCTTTGTGTCCGTTTCATGTATGTTTGTAAAGTCGTCATCAACAGCCTTAAATAGTCCACTACCTCAGGCCGACATAGGTCTACCTAGAAAGGAGGTTTTATTTTGGACAACTATACCAAGCTGGTCAGACGGGTTGGTATAAGGTTAATGTCAAGTTTTCCATCTCTTTGCAGTGCTGTTGTCCTGCGTAGTTTGTGCCCTTAGTCGGCTCTTTCGACATCCACGGAATGAATGGGGGTGGTGACACTCCGTATTTTTAATCTGTCACCACACAGACAGTTTCATATGCCCCTATCAAATATTATATATATTTATTTAAATCTTCTGTGTGTGTGTATGTGACTAAACTCCTCCTAAATGGCTGAATCAATTTGACGTGTGTGTATACGACAATATTATGTACATACATACATAGTATGTATGTACATAATATTAAGTATATAAATATCAAGTATATAAATATAATATATATAAATATCAAGTCCTAACAAAACTCAATGTTGCAAAGACAAATCTGATGCTTTAAACACTTTAAAGAAAATCAGTATTGCTGCAGTATATGAATGCGGTTTTAGCAGTTGCAGTTATGTTACACCTCTTTTAACAGGCAAATATTAGTGTATATGACGGTTATTGTAAGAAAATGGTAAGCTTACCGACAGTTAGTTTTTATATATATATATTAGGGATGGAATAAAATCAATTATTATAAATATATGATGTATAAATTAACTTTTGACTAATTTACAAAACCACTATGACTTATGATTATTATGTCCATGCTTATTTTGTAAGGAAGAGGGGGGCAGATGAGCAGGCGGGTCACCTGATGAAAAGTGACTACCACCACCCATGAACGCCTGCAACTCAGGCGCCACAAACACGTTACGGCCTTTTAGGAAGGAGGATACTCTTTCCTTGAAGGTCAGGAAATACCACAGACCATAACTTGTTTGACATATTTGTTCATTTGGCATATACTTAGTTTACTAGTATGTGGTGCAGCTATGATCAAATCCATTTCTTTAGGTAAGAAAGCACCATATTTACTTTTATATAATATTATACATCAATATAAGCAAGTGACCTGTAATATATGTATAAAAATATTGCATGGATTTGTAATATGAGACATTAAAGTGAACTAACATGCTATATCTGAAGGTCAATTCTCATAACAAAAGTTCGGTTTCAATTCAGTTCGGTCTCAAATGACAGTTGTGAGATCGAAAGTTGATAGGAACTGAATTGAGAGCAAACTTTTATTACGAGAATTGGCCTTCTGATGTAACTAGTAATTAAAAGAGTAAATTTATTTGTTGCTGACTTAACCTGACTGTGTATAACTGCAAAGTACTACTCATTCATTATTGGATCCCAAAAATATTTTCATAACAAACACAAGTGTTTTACTCGATTCACATCCACACCAAGCAATTCAATTTAAAATTTAAACACTCTTAAAGCATTTCTAGTAATTAGTCATTTGGATTGCACACATTTAATACAATATTAGGCTTTAAAAGCACACACACAAACATTTTCAACAACTGCTCCATTACATGTAGACCACACAATAATTTATTAGTACCTAGTAAAGCAACAGTCATACAAAAATATCCTTATCTAAAATGAAGTATTAGGTAGGTATTGTAGGTATGTACTGTACATTCCAATGTTTTCATCATAAAAACATAAAATACAGTTTCATAGCAATCAAGGCAATAACTAATTTGATAATGGCAATCAAACCTACTATAAAATTTCATTATAATTTTAATATTCAAAAATCACAGGGCTTGGAATATGATACCACTTTATGTCTTGTGGTTGTAATGTGGTGTGGAAGTATTAGGTATTATGGTCACAATAGGTTTACCACAACTAAGATTTCAGATTAAAACTTACTTGGTTTTAGAAAATAAAACATGTCTGAAGCTGTGTCTCCCACACAATACTTGTGAATGGATACCATTGATTTTGTGTGGGTGGCAAGATATTCATGTTTTTTTAGATAGGACGTCTGTGGGATCCTACCCGCCTACTCCTTACGTACAGGTGCACAAAATCATTACGTTTATTAAATATTAACGCTTCGCCATCACGTAAATTTTACTTATCATTAAAATGTTTATCATTTTAATAAATTATAGGTAATTTCAATAATTTATAATGAACAGGTTAAAAGTGAAAGCTAAAAAGATTACAACGCTAATCTCAGTATAGTAAAACGAAAAGTGAAGCCGACCGGTACGCTGTTCCTCCTTCGGAGAAAACACTTTGCAACGTCATAACGATAGTGTCTTTACCTTGGTTCCCTTGCCCTTTCATCCGCTATGACCGCCACAAACATGGAACAAGAAACAAAACGTGCGCATTAGCGATAACACATTCATTTTATCACTTAAATATAGGACCGCATTCGTGTAAATGCGAAATACCTGATCTGACACGCCTGCTGACATTGGCCGCGATTTTATGACTATAGAGCACTTATAGAAGTCTTTAGTCACGATAATATCAAAATAAATCACATCAGTTTCACTACACAAGGTCCGAAGTGTCCGAGATTCACTTAATTATTTCTAAATAATCCGTGTTGTATAAAAATCCGCTGAAAGTCCGAAACGGATGGACGTTTGTTAATGGCGACCAAAGCAGTGTTACCAATTTTTTACATCAATAATCGGTATATTAAAAACCGTAAATATTAAGACAAACTATTTAAACGCCAGGCGACACTCGACACCTCACAACACGTCATACATGCATCAATCAACACTGAAATTAATAGACTACGGAAGAGATTTAATTCTCATTAGTCATTTCTGAATATAGGTGATGCAGATACAATTATATACCGAATTAAAATTCCATAATGTCATGCAAGGACATGAAACCTATTTGTTTTATAATAAAAATTATGTTGAAAATTACTTAAAAGTTTTTCCTACACTTATTGTCAAAATAACGATTCCCGTATTGACCTGAACGAAACTCTTTAGTACCTACAGGAGTCATATTTTATATACTAGCTTTTGCGGGCGACTTCGATCGCTTGGTGGTCGACATTAGACATGATAGTAATTCTACTAAGAGTTTGGAATCGATAAGTTAAAATAAAAACTTTACCATACAAACTTTTTAAGGGTTATTTTAAAAAATTTGTACCAACGTTTTTATACCTTGTAATAAAGAGTATTTACTGTGAGTTTCAAAACGCTACTGACAAAAATAACGAAGTTTCTAATAAATGATAAATGATATTTATTTCTGTAAGTAAATCTTTTCAGATATTTTTACAAGGCGGACTTTATAGCTAGAAGGAGCCGGCATTTCCTAAGACTCACTCTGGGAAGAAACGCCGAAACAAACCAAAGAGGTGTATTTTTTTTTTAAGTCCGTAAACAAACTTAAATAAAACTGTGCGAGTACAGTATAGGGTCTGGATAGGCCTTTTGAGGAAAGGACCATAGTTTTGAGTCAGCCTGTCCATACAGACGGCATACAGCCTCAGCCATCGTGTAGCCTAACCGATATTGGTCAAGATCAACGACCCGAAGCATGACACTACCGCCAGCAGGACATTTGGGTAGGCCGTGGAAACACTCAAAACCACCAGAAAGATAATAAAATATGAATTAACATTACAAGCCTACACTATACTCACATTTACATACTTACACAAAAAATAAAAAATACTATACAATTCAAATTCAACGAAAAATAAAATACGAAAACAAAATACGAAATAAACCAAAAAAAATATGTAAATACTAAATGTTGGAGTGAGCAGCATCAATCCCAAGCAAATTTGTCGTCTAAATAATCTGTAATAGTGTAGTAAGCTTTTTCACACAGTTTTAGCTTTACTAAAGACTTAAATTTGTTAATACTTAATTCATGAATTTGCTTGGCACTTTATTGTAAAATCGCACACCCTGACTACGAAAAGTCTTGCTTACTTTTTGTAGTCTAGTGGTTGGTAACACGAGTTTATCTTTATTTCTAGTGTTTATTTTATGAATGTCGCTAAACTTTGTAAATAAATGATTATTTATCTTTACATACACTAAATTATCATTTATGTATTGAGATGCGACTGTTATGATACCAATTTCTTTAAAGTTATCCCTCAGTGACTGCCTATAACTGAGATTATAAATTGCACGAGTAGCTCTCTTTTGTAACACAAAGATACTTTGAATGTCAGCAGCATTTCCCCACAACAAAATACCGTATTACACTATGAAAATAGCTAAAATACACCAGTCTAGCTGTTTCTACTAATTCTTACTTCTTCTTAATTGACGAATTTTGTAAACCGCGTATGCTGCAGAGCTGAGTCTATTCGACAATCCGTAAATGTGTGTGCCCCATTGCAATTTAGAGTCTAGTGTTATACCTAAAAACTTGGTGGTGTCCACAAGATCCAACTCCTTTTCATTAATTAGAACATTGGTCTTTACCTGCGTAACATTAGGTGTAAAAAATCTAATACATTTCGTTTTATTCTCGTTTAAAAGTAAATTATGAACATTAAACCAGTTCACAACCTTAGAGAGAGTGCTATTCACGTCATCAGTTACTGATTGCTGTCGTTTAAGTTTAAATAAAGGTGAAGTGTCATCCGCAAATAGTACTATCTCCTGATTATCATTTATCACATTAGGTAGGTCATTTATGTAAACAAGAAATAAAAATGGGCCGAGAATTGAGCCCTGCGGAACCCCCATAGTGACCAGAGACCCCAGGGGTCTCTGTCCATTAACTTCCACTCTCTGGATCCTATTACCCAAATAAGAGATAAGAAGATCCAAAGCAGTGTTCCTAATTCCATAGTAATGCAATTTCTTGATTAATGTTTCATGAAAAACGCAGTCGAATGCTTTAGATAAATCACAAAAAACACCCATTGCATCCCGTTTATCCTCCCAGGCACTAAATATATTTTTCAAAAGTTCAACACCGGCATTACTTGTCGAGCAACCTCTTCTGAATACAAACTGTTTCCTGTGTAGAATTTTGCTTGCACTAAAGTGAGTTTGTAGCTGATCCAGTATAATCTTCTCAAACATTTTACTGAAAGTAGGCAACACTGAAATTGGTCTATAATTTGTAGAATCAGACGTGCTACCTGCCTTGAATAAGGGAATGATCTTACTATGTTTCATCAAATCAGAAAATACACCACATTCAATGCACCTATTGAAAATTAAGGCCAACTCTGATGCAACTACGCTAATAATTGATTTAGTTATTTGTACAGAATTACCCAAAAGGTCGGCGGTTTTCTTAACACTAAGAGCATTGAACGTTTTTATTATATCTCTATCAGTGATACAACAAAATCTAAACTCAGTATTACAAATGTTAATATTCTCTTTCAATAACGATTCTGCAATAATGGGGGACGAATTCAATGATTCTGTTATTGAGACTGCAATATCTGTAAAAAAAATTCAAAAGCTGTGGCGACATCTATTTCGGAATTAATTACTTTATTATCAATTATAAGACTGTAGGTAATTATTACATTTGTTCTTTGCTTTCTGTATTAATTATTTATCTATGCACCTGGCTGTGGTAGCTGTGATCCTAGTAGGCTCCAAAAAAATATTATCAAGATTGTATGACCCAAATAGGTTTTTAAATCTTGAACTCAAGGATGTATCTTCCAATATATTTACATTAAAATCACCACACACAATTCCACTTTTGTTTGACTTACATACTTTCTGCAAGACTTCGTTCATAATTTTTTCAAAACTAATATATGATGAGGATGGAGGCCTGTATACACTCAATACAATAAGTTGCTCTAACTCCACACATGCTATTTCTATTGTCCGCTCAGCAGAGAAGCCTAAAATATCAGTACGGTTCCTATAAGTTAAATTCTTTCTTATAAAAATTTATGAACCGCCATGTACAGCACGCTCCCTACTGAACGAACTACCTAATATATGATTACTGAAGTTAAACATGAGCTGATGACTTTTTAGCCAATGTTCTATAATACAAAGAATATCAATTTTGTCACAGTAATGAACATTCAACTTCAACTTTTGATTAACGGCTTTGTGGTAAAGTGTAACCACAATTTCGCCAATGTCAAGTATTTAAAAGACAAACTGTCAAACTAATGAACATGTTGCAACAATGCTGTGCGTTTTTAGATAAGTCAGTGATTCAGTCTGTCAGTTTCTTCTTTTATAGGTATATATAGATAGTGCAATCTAAAGGTTCAATTACATCGTATAGTCAGACTTAGACTTAACGCACACTTGGGCGATAACTTCGGTAGACTTGTAGAACACAAAAATACGCAGCCTATGTCAGTCGTCAGTCGTAAACCACCTCAGTAAACACATGACTTCTATGTGACGTCATAGATAGATCATAGAATATTTACATAAAAATGACATTATTAATGACTTTGATATGATGTCATATGGGTGACGTCGTTATGATATAGTACTAACCTAACATCTGACTTTCATGTGACGTCACCATCGTTACATAAAAAATATTATGTCCTATCCCTATCATATATGTTAGTTACTTACTTGTTGACGATTTTTTTTATTTTGGGCATCGTAACAAACTTTTGATTTATAATTTTTTATTAGAATGGAATGGAGATTTTTTACAGGCTAAGCCTAAGAATCAAATAGAAAGAATACATTTAATAACTAGTGAAAACAAAACAATATAATAAATTTATATTCTTATTAAAATATTTTCAAACAAGATGATTTTGTAGTCTCGTGATAATTTTATTATATTATGAAAAGACAACTCCCAGACTAGGAATAAATCCTGTGTCGCGGGGGACTTTACAAACATACCTACATGAAACGGGCATAAAGGACACCCAGACTCAGAACAACAATTTGTTGATCACACAGTGTTGTCCCATGTCGGGATCGAACCCACAACAATCAGCGCAGTAGGAAATGGCAAGGTGACCGCTTAAACCACTGCGCCATCCGTGCAGCCATAATTAAAAGAAAATTACTGTTCAATAGGCTATAATTTATTCATATTCAAAACGAATAACTAAGAGTGGTTATGACAACTACGAGGGAGGTCCAAAAGTTCGTGAAATGAAAGGGTCTTAAATAAAATGAAACAATAAATCTGTTTTTCCTTTTCAATATAATCATCCTTAAGCTGAATACATTTATTAGATCTATGAATTAATTTTTCTAAACCACCGTAAAAATATTTTTTATCTTTTGCCTCAAAATGAGCTTAAACTGTCTCATTTACCTCATTGTCGACGGAAAATTCCCTTCCCCTTGTCTTTTTTTAAATTGGCGAATAAATAAAAATCACTCGTGGGGCCCAGATCTGGACTGTAGGGTGGGTGGACCAGTGTTTCGAAGCCATGCTTATGCAGAGCAGCAATTGCAACTCTGCTCTTGTGAACCGGCGCGTTGTCTTGCAAGAGCAACACACACTTGGTCAATTTTCCTAGACGTTTTTCTTTGATGGCCTCCTTTCATTTCTCTTGTATCGTTGCGTAGTATTCTCCGGTTATGGTCCTTCCCTTTTTTTGTAATCAATGAGTATTATCCCCTCACAACCCCAAAAAACAGTAGCTATCAACTTTCCAGCCGACTCGGACAGTTTGAATTTCTTTGGCGGTGGTGTACCCTTTTTATGCCATTGCATGGACTGTTGTTTAGACTCAGGCTCATATTGATGAACCCACGTTTCATCTCCGGTAACAATCCGCTCCAAAATCTGAGCAGGTTCGTGTCCACACAACTCAAAAATTGTTTTGACGCATCGACGCGCTGTTGTTTCTGAAGCGGCATGAGCATTCTCGGGTGTATTGGTATATTGCACTGACTTTTGTCTCTGTATCTGATACTCCAACTAATGCAGATAACTGTTTTTTCTTCAAACAGGGTCCTCCAGTGCAATTTTTTCTACTTTTTCGACGATGTCTGGTGTGGTGGCCTCAACTGGAATTCCTGAGCGGGGGTCGTCTTCAATCCACGCCCGATCATGTTTAAAAAGACCATGAACTTGTAAATCATTGATTTACTAGGGCACTGTCCCCCGTTAACGGTTTGCATTTCATTCAAAATGGTCTAAGCGTTCTTTCCTTGCTTGGTAAGGAATTTTATCACAGCACGGTGTTCAATTTTCTCCATAGTTGCAGTTTTCTTCCGGATAGACTTGTTTAGCAGGCAAATATTCGTAAACGAATGAAGCAATAGGGCTGAAACTTAATTTATATACTAATGATGAGTCCCCAATTAGTATGACACTAAGCAAGCGCCCCTATCCCCACTCCATCCCCTACGTTCCACGAACTTTTGGACCTCCCCTCATACCTCTTACCTATAGCGATAGCTGGCGTGCTACCATTTTTATGAGTCGCGATATGGTTTCGTTACTCATGCAGGTTTATTACGGCGCTCTTATAACTTCATGTAAACTCGTTTTTCCTTTTACAACGTATAAACCTTTCGCCTTTTACTAAAGATTTCCGTCTAGAGGAAGACGTCACAGGTGTGTAAGCATTTGAAACGTTACATTTTTAGTTTTTTTTTAAATCTGTTTTAACACAACTTGACACAAACCCTATACAAACCCGTCTGGCCAGCGTGGTATAGTAGGCCAAAACCTGCTTTCTAAGGAGAGGCTTATGTCTACTATTAAAGGCTGTTGATAATGGTGATGAAAGCACTATAAAATCTAATTTAAACACTTATAAATGGATATAAAAAATAAAATTAAAATAATAATAAATTAAAATAAAATTAAAATTTAATCATGTCAAAAAGTCTAGTGTGTGTTTTAAGCCGGATATTCGGCGCTGTTTGCCAAATATGCGCCAACTACAAAAGTGCCCGTATAATTTGCTTTACCGACTAAGCAGATACATATATAATACACTATGTCGGACTTCTCTAAATGAAATATATACGAGGGAGCGTTTTTATTTTCGCGGAATGGGGGATAAGGGGTGGAAATAAAAAACCAAATTATTTTTCCTTTTCAATATATTCACCTGCAAGACGGATACATTTTTCAGATCTTTCAATTAATTTGTTATACCCTCATAAAAAAATGTTTTCTCTTTGTCTTCAAAATACGCCGAAACTGCCTCCTTGACTTCATCGTTGGTAATTTTTTTTACCCCGCAACTCTTTTTTCATTTTTGGAAACAGGTAATAATCGATGGGGGCCAGGTCTGGTCTGTAGGGTGGGTGATTCAAAATATCGAAGCCCACCTTATGCAGGGCAGCCAACGCAACGCGGCTCTTGTGGACGGGCGCGTTGTCGTGCAAAAGCAACACACCTTTTGTCAATTTTCCCCGTCTTTTCTCTTTAATGGCTTCTTTGAGTCACTCTAATATCGAAGCGTAGTATTCTCCGGTTATAGAAACACCTTTATCTTTATAATAGATCAATAATATTCCTTCTGAGTCCCAAAAGACTGTTGCCATGAGTTTCCCAGCTGACTGTGACACCTTAAACTTCTTGGGAGGTGCTGTGCTCTTTTTATGCCACTGCATGGAGTCTTGTTTCGACTCAGGTTCATAATGATGAACCCAAGTTTAGTCTCCAGTAACAATTCTACTCAATACAGCATCCTTGTCTTCATTACAAAGGTCTAAAAATGCACGTGAACACTCTACGCGCTGTTGTTTTTGCGTCGGCGTGAGCATTCTCGGCACCCATCTTGCACTGACCTTGGACATGCCAAAATGATCGTGCAGAATTCTAAAAATGGTTGTATCAGATACTCCAACCATTTCTGCGAGTTGTTTCTTCTTTAGTCCAGCATCGTCGAGTACAATTTTTTCGACATTTGGATAAGTTCTGGCGTGATCACCTCGATGCTCCTGCCCGGCCTCGGGTCGTCTTCAAGGGATTCCCTTTCTTGTTTAAATAAACTGTGCCATTTGTACACCATGGTTTTTCCTGGACAAGAGTCGCCGTAAACCAATGACATCTCATTCATTATGGTCGCAACTGATTTTCCTTGCTTGGTAAGGAACTTTATAACGGCACGATATTCGATTTCTTCCATGTTTCACTTTTCACTCCCGATTATGTTGCTTGGTTGACGATAACTCAAAGACTAATTGTCTAATAACAATGAAACCTGGTATTTATACTAATTATGAGTCACTGAACACGTGACGATTCTAATGAGCCTAATCACCCCCCTCCAACCCTCTCATTCCGCGAACTTAAAAACGCACCCTCGTATATACAGATTAATTAGTGGTTTATTAGCACTATAGAATCTGATTGAGACACTGTTAAAATTTAGTCATGTCAAAAAGAAAGTCTCGTGTGTGGATTGTTTGACAAGCCGGATATTCAGCGCTCTTCACTGAATAATCGCCGACTAGTCACCGACTACAAAAGTGGCCGAATAGAAAGCTTTACCGATCAGTCGGACATTTATAATGAAAATGCATGGACACATGAAAACATTTTTAACCAAATTAAATATATATTAAATGTGTAATAAATGAAATGAAATACATAAAAAACAAGTACATATTTTTATTTCAGGTAGATTTTATATAACAGACCAACTGACCAGATAATCGAGATTTTTGTAAAAATAGCAACCCTGGCATTCTTATACAGCTACAGCACAGGTGAAATTAAGTCCACACTCAGGGTTCTCTTAATTATTTTATTTACATGAACATAATATTACTCAAAGTTTGATGTTTTACCTGCACACATTTCATATGCTAAACTATTTCTTTTTAAAAAATGATGAAATAGTTTTAGTTCCAGTAGCTGCTTTTTGTCGAGCCTTCTCTTTAGCCGTCAATGGCTTTTCTTTTTTTACTTCACTCAAATTTTTCTCAGATAGCTCAAATCCATTTAAATTATCATCCTCATTGGAAGCTTCACATTTTATGCGTTTGTTGGGTTCACTATTTTCAACTTCTGATTTTCTTTTTTTTCCAATTGTTTCAATTAATTCAGGTTTAAAATCAAATCTTTTTTCTAGTAATTCGATAATGTCACTTTGTAGATATTCAGATATTATGCCGAAAGCATATTTTAAGTAGAATTCTGTAACAAGATTAAAAATATGTATCACATCAGAATAAACATACAATGTAATGTACAATATTTTTACGACCCGGTGTTTGTCCTTATACACCAATTTCTATATGACATAAGCAAAATAATAGGCAATTAACAACAATTCTTATTGATATTTGTTTGTACTGTTCCCCATTCTTGCACTTTTGTTCCTGCTGTATTGACAGAAAAAGAATCATCTCACATATGAAATAAAAGAAGTTCTAGGTATTTTAGTGCAGGCTTGGTGTATAGAAACTCTTCGTCAATTTTCCTGTACAAATTCGTAATAACCCGGCTGACTGTACCACTGGAAACTATGAATACATTTTTATGTCCTAATTGATTGACCGCTACAATACTATACCACAAGTTGTTACAGACATTAGGTTAAATTGAAGCAAAGGATACCTCAGAGCACACCTTAAACACAATAATCTATCTATTAGTATTGGTTGTGGGCTCCGGTTTCCGCATTTAGACTCAAGATGGTCCTTTGTGCGTCGAGGACAGGTTGGCTAGGTGGGCCAACCAAGCTCCTACATGAAGCGTAGAAGCCTCCTGGGGCGTTCACAGGCTTCTAGGAGCGAATTTGTATCAGGAATGATACTTGGCAGTTGTGTGGCCACACCCTCGCATTCCAGGACTACGTAGGCGGCCGTTTCTTCTACGTTCAGACATACTCTGCAAAGCATCTGCAAAGTCTGTCGCATTAATGGTAAATAGTTGTCGCTTCAGGGCTAGGTGTCCTCCTATGGTTCCTACAACTATTTGGATATTTAGTCTACTAAGACTAATCACTTTGCAAGTAAGTTGTGGAGAGACTTTATTCAGCACCAATGTCGACTTTGTGCAGCTGAGTGAGTTTTTCCACCTTCGGTTGTGCGCTACACGAGTGCGACGTCAAACCCAGGATCGAAGTTTGAATAATCTATCTAATCAATGAGCAAACCAGTAGAATTAGGTTACCTCTGCCCGCCTACAAGTCGTTTTTCTTAGCACTATTGTTCATTGAAGTGGATATGACAAAGACATGATACGGTGCATTTTAAACCAATATTTTGATGTACAATAATAAGTGCTTCTTTGGTATCTAGCAGAAGGGACGGCAGTTTTTCTATGGAGAGATATTCAGAGCTGCAACCAGTTACGGTGCTTCTACACGGTGCAAGTAGCTGGAGCGGGCAAAGACGCGTCTTACTTGCTTCAGTAGCATGCACGTTTGGTTGAGAGATGCGCAAGTAAGCCGTGCGAGTCACTTGACCCGCTTAGTCCTTTAACCTGAGCAAGTGCCTCATTAAATGACAAAGTTATAAGAGGGGCAATGTAGTGTGTATCATAAACATGGATACCTTCATCAATATTCTCATTATTGATATTGCTTGATACAAATGTAGCCGAAGTAGCTCCTGATGTCACATGTATATTTTTCTGTCTTAATACTATTGCTAGTCTCCTAACTCTGTCATCCAGCCAAGATAGAGTTTTTTCCTCATTATATTTGTAAGCTTTCATATCTTCTGGACCCTGAAACAAAATGAGGTTTTAGTACCATTATTATCATCAACAGCCTTTAATAGTTCATTGGTGGTGTTTCATTCATAGGTGGTTCATTCATAGGTTTTGGCCTACTTGGCCAGATAGGTTGGTATAGCATTTGTTTCCAGTTTTCCTTCTATTTGCAGTGCTGTGGTGTAGTTTGCTCCCTTAGTCGGCTCTTACAACACCTACAGGATGAATAGGGTTGGAGCCGCTCTGTGTTTTTACTACCGTCACCACACAGACTATACCAATAATGAACAAGGAAGTATTTGCTCCTCATTACCCCAGACAATTTCAACTAGAAATCGTCATTATACAGTAGCCGCCCTACATTTACTATTGGATCTTATAACCAACTGCCTGGTCTTAAAAATGGCTGTAGCTATACCTATAACAATCAGCATTTAATCTTTAATTTCAACTTTTTTTTTCTGTTTATTAAATGCAACACATTACAATCAATTCAAACAAAAATCATAAATACATCATTTAGATCTGGATTGTAACATAACTTAAATGTGCACAAAGAAAAACAATGAAGATTATAGAAAAATTATCTCTGATTCACAATACTGTAAGTAAGATGACAATAAGGAACAAAGTAAGCAAGCAGCCAATGTGATGCAGATCTAAATGCTAATGCAAACCCAACTCACTATGGAGGATGTCTTTCTAATTGTCGACTTGCCCCTAACAAAACCATGTTGTTTATCTGAGAGCATTGGTTTATTATGACAATATAGATGTTTAAATACCACAGATTCAAATATTTTTGCGAAACATGATAAAGTGCCAGTAGGCAAATGGAAGACAAGACTGATAAAAACCTTCAGAGTTCTGTTTTTTTTTTTGTATTTATTAAGTTCACTAGAGTTCCAAGGGAAGAACTATGCAATTGCTTGTTGAGTTGATCACAACAATAATTTTTTATCATTTTATCATCATATTATTATTTTTTTCAAAGGCAACTCTCCCCTTAGGAATATGCCCTGTGTTGCAGAGAACTTTACAAACATACAGCAAAAGAACACAAAGAACACCCATTCATGTAGTTAGATTCAATGTATTTTTCTTTATACATACAAATACTTAATTATTAATTTATAAATAAAAAATAAAATAAAAAAATTCTAACTGGAATGCATGAAAACAAATCAATATAATATTTTTTTTGCATCTTATTTATAGAATACATAATAATAGAAATACATGAGTGTCTTTGATTGTAACACACCTTCAAATCTCCAATGCAATCCAAGTTTTGTACAATATCAAGAATCTTGTCATACCCCTTTTCTGATAACAAATCTTCTAATGGAATAGCTCTACTATTGCATTGTTCTTTTAACTTTGGTAAAACTGAAAATTAAATAAAAAATACATAAATAACAATAATTCAATGTAATAGCCAATCATTTTGAAACTAAACTCGAAATGTAACACAAAATATTAATAATAATTCTTAAAATAATTAAAGCACTTGTAATGTATGAATGTATGAACGGTATGAAAACATTAACTATGGAATAAATTTTTTACGCAGGGTATACCGAATACTTAGAACAACTACTTCGCGGTGTGACTAAACTTCATTTTTGATTAGCTTTCAGCCTAAATGTCTGTTTGCCTAAGTTATAGTTTGACTTCCCTTAAGAATTACTTCACTATATACCTGAATCTTACATGGTCCACATCACATTATGCCTTAACATTATGTGCATATGCAAAGTTCTTATTGTATTTATCTGTCCACTAAAAATGTTGAGTGTTCTGATGTAATGTAATGAATGAAAATTAAGTAATGTGGAAAACATTACTTAATATTCCAGAACTAGGAGTGGCATTTTTCTTCACATTTGGATGGAACCAAAGGGGACATATACCCTTCCAATTAAAAAAAGAATTTTCTAAGTTGGTTTACAAATGAAAGTTTTGAGATAAAAAAACAGCTTGTGTTCTAGCTTTCTTTATTACCTCAAAACTTTCAGGGCTTTAAAATTTGAGGAATTCCCTGGATTTATCTAGGATCACAACATCAAATCCTACTTTGATGGTATTGGAACCACCTTGGTAGTTTACCCCTTTTGATTACAAAAAGAATATTGAAAATTTGTCAAAAATTGACTGACAATTGCCGAATTAATAACCTCCTCTTTTGTGTTTTTGAAGTCGGTTAAAAATAGTGGATATCAATGTCCAAAGGTCCTGATTGAGTAAGGAAAAGTTACTAGGCTTAAAAAGACTAGCCAGTCTTTCTCGCTACTGATACGATATAGTATCGTAGTAGGCCTAAATCTCTTTAGGCAAATAAAAAATCGCAATATGATCTATATCGTAGTAGGTCTAACTATCTTTGTGCCTAAATCGCGATTTATTTAGTCGAAAGGCGAAGTAGTTTTTCCGCGTATTAAGTTTAAACCCCGTAAAGGGAATAAATGTAGTTTACCTAGAAATAGAGGATTTAAAGTTGTCAAAATTTGGACACTGCCATCAGATTTAACAGTCTCTCCGATAAACCATGATCGGTATGGTTCATCAAACGTTATGACTTCATAAATTTTACTGTTTTCGTCATCCACACAGTATTTTGCCGGCTTTCCGTTGCCAGGATGCGGCAATGTTATAATGCTAAAATTACTATTTAGAAGCAATGAATCTGTAATTATAAAATACAATAAGGAATAAGTATACAGGAGAAATCAGTTTACAAAGAATTACTGTTTTATATAGCATTAATTTTAATTTCCACAACACAAACCTTTAACAAACATAACCCATGAGTTTTCTACACGTTTCTTAGGTGGAGATACAGTAGTAATAGTTGCTTCAGTTTTCTTTTTCGATCTCGTGGACATTATTACAAGTAGGTATTATTAATGTTATAACATACGATACAACGTCTATTCTTTCGATCCAGAGATCACAATTCCCGCTTTTAGGAATGTTGTTTGTAGCGATGAATGACAGTTAGTGTTCTTTTGACATTGACATTTAAAAGAAATGTGTCTTTTGTCCATGGACGCGACGGTAACTATAAACCATCGGATCTAACGAACATTTCTTTCTTATATCCACCAAATAAGAAAAAAAAGCGTGGTAATTGTGTTACTTGACTGGGTAGTTTGTTGTATTGACCTTAGCTCACAACAAACTACCAAACAATTCTTACCGTCGCCACGTCGGTTAGTGTACGTAATGTCAAGTTTTACACTTGTATGTAAACTCGGTTGCAAACCGTAAAACGACGGTTTTATTTATCCTTCTTTTGATTTGTTCTTATGTGTTTGTTGTGATTGATTCTTAATTGATTAATCATGTTGCACATTGCTTTCGTATGTTATATTCTCTGGTCAACTCAACATACGGTTCAAACCACAGTTTACTGCAATTTCAATGGTTTGGTTTCGAACTGATTCACACGAATAGTCAAACCGATTCAACTCGGTGTGACAATATTCTAGACCGTCACATCTCCAGTGATTATGTATGAAATGAAGGTGCGCTCGTTACGACATGACAACTGGGTAACATTTTTGCGACCGTGGAACAAGCCCGTGATGAAACTGCCACCGTGTCTTAATAGTCCAGACACTTTAGCAATCAACCTCGGAATGAGAGGTACTAAGCTGAATTTGTACCTAACTGAAGGTTATTCGCTAATGCTCTACAATTTTTACAATAGATAAACACATGTTTGGAGTAATAGAAACCAAGATAATCGCGAAAAACTGTTTCTTTTAACTTTTGGCCTTGAAAAACATAAAAAAAGATGAATGAATGAAAATTGTAGCATCTACATGATTTTATTTAATAAGTTTATTTAATAATGTTTTGATTGCGCATGCTATAGTAAAAATTTTATAGTTTTTATAAGTGATAGCTGACAGATATGATTTTACTCTTCAATCAAATTGCCACATTTAAAGCTTCACTACTTGAAATAAGTCAATTATGTTAAAATTATATATTTTACGATAAAATAAAAGCATCATCTATGCATTTGTGACCTTTGGGTCCACTGTAAGTCACATATTGCCTAAGTTGTTCCCTTTGAGCTTAAGGTACTTTTGTGTATCGTGTTTGGAAAATTATAGGAAAAATATTGGCAGATAGGTATTTTTTGAAAAAGAAACTTTTTAGTGCCCTATTTACATATGACGGCGCGCTTCCGATGTTTAAATTTAAAAAAAGTTTTGTTTCTGTTGCCCTTGGTCAGCGCCCTTCACTCTCGAGACTTGACAGTGACAATGACAAACACTTATTCGGGTCTGTTGAGCAACACCGAAACTTGTGAATGTAACGGGAGATTGTTTGCTTAATGGTCGCATGATGACCCTCGCAGTTGGGACTATTAAGGAGATTTTAAAATATGCTTATTTCAAAAAAAGAAAAAAAAACATAAAATGAAGACATTGGGGTTGTTGATATAAACTACTCCTACAAGAAGTTAATATCAGTCAGAGGAAATATGAAAAAAGCTGGTAAGATAGAATAAACAACACTTTGAATTTAAGTCTGATACAAAAATGTTTTTGGTAGTTGGAAATACAATCTAAATTTTTTTTGGTAGTCACTGGTGATGTATAGTAGAAATTCGTTTTAAAATGTAGTCACACTGTGATATTTTGGAAGCTGACTGACAGTGACATACATTTAAAGAAAATAAACCCGCGGTTGTCGTGAGTTCCGTAGGAAGTTATTTTATATAAAGAAAATGCAAGCTTTTCTTAAAACTGGTAAAATATCAGCATCAGATAAGCCTTCTACTTCAGGAGTAAAATCTTCTGCCAAAAAAAAACCTCCAGCACCATGGGTTGAGAAATAGTAAGGGGCATATTTAGTTTCGGTTACGATTGTTTTATTTAAGGCGTATTTTCTAGGCTTTTAATATGAGTACTTTTTTAATTTCAGTCGGCCGAAGACGATAGATGATATTGTAGACCAAGGCGAGGTAGTGCAAGTTCTTAGAGAATGTCTATCTGGCGGGGATTTGCCACATTTGTTGTTTTACGGCCCACCTGGCACCGGCAAAACAAGTGCCATTCTTGCGGCAGCGAGACAGCTCTTTGGTGATATTACCCGAGATCGTGTGTTAGAGCTAAATGCTTCAGATGAACGTGGTATTCAGGTGATTAGAGACAAAGTGAAAACTTTTGCTCAGCTCACTGTTAGCAGTACCAGGCCAGAGTAAGTGTCTTACTTACCTATACTTTTTCTTTAAAAAGAACTCCCGCATTAGGAATATATCCTGTGTCGCTTGTGACTTTACAAACATACATAAAACGGAAACAAAGAACACCGAGACTCAGAACGACAATTTGTGGATCACACAAAGTGTTGTCCCATGTGGGGATCAGACCCACAACACTCAGCGTGAGCGGTGTGGCAACCGCTTAAACCACTATGCCATTGGTGCAGTCTGCACTTTGACTGCATGCTCTGCTTTTAAGAGAAACAAGTAAATTTATTTTTAAAAATAAAACAAGTTTCTGTATATTTAATTATAGAGGGTTCCTTTACCCATTGATTAACAACATCATTAGTAAGATTTTAGATCATTTTTAAAATTACTTAATCAAAAATATTGTTTGTTGTTTTGATACTTAGATTTATTTCCATTTCACTTCTAAAAGAAAATAAATAAATAATAACAAAAGTATTTTTCAAATCTTTCTTACTTAAAAAGTTAATTACTTACTTAAAATCAACCTAAAAGTATATTACCAGTATATAATAATATTTTCACACATCTCACACAAGGCCGCCTGATTCCAAACTAGGCAGACCCTGTACTATGGTAACCGGAGTGCTGATAAACATACTTATATATTTCTAAATACAAACACACACAGACACAGAACAAATGACATTGCTCATCACACAATGAATTGTCCTGAGTGACTGAATCAAACCCACAACCTCTGGAGTAGCAGTCAGGGTCACTAACCACTAGACCAACAGGCCAGTCAAGTGATGATGCCTATAGCAAATATGATAATTTTTTTCCATCTCATCATGTCATATTGTGTATGTCTGATTTATTGGAGGACAAATAATTGTGTAATAAGTAATGATGAAACTGGTTGATGGTCTGGTTATAATAGCAAGACTCTGACTGAGTTTACACTCTAAATGCTACATATGGTATTTCAAGTTGTTATTAAGATTAATTATATGAAATTAATCATATTAGTTTTCTGATAAATTATTATTAGTAAAAAAATTATAAATGTTTCAGTGGTCGGCCATGTCCTCCATACAAGCTTGTAATCCTGGATGAAGCCGACTCAATGACAACGGCAGCTCAGGCAGCACTGAGACGAACAATAGAAAGAGAAACAAGAACAACCCGGTTTTGTCTTATCTGCAATTATGTATCTAGGATTATCCCACCAATAACCAGTAGATGCTCCAAATTTCGTTTCAAGCCCTTAGCTAAAGAAAATGTCATTAAGCGGTGTGTATTTTTATGAATCATTACCATTTTGAATGAAATAACTTGAAAATATTTAGGAATTATAAAGTAAATTAATAACTTATTTATTCTGTATTATTTTGAGCCGTTTTTTGTTATTTACATATTGGCTCTGAAGATTTTAAACAATTTAAAAAAGCAAACAGTTTATTAATAGTACAGAGATTAATTAGTGTGTAGTATTATCCACACATTTTTACAATATGATAAACACTTCATGAATATCATGCTCATAGCTTAATAAAGCTTAGCGATCATTCAAGCGATGTTTGTTATGCCCGCCCTTACGTTGTAAAGGAACTTTAATACGAAGACAAACAAATGGACAAAATATATTTTTTACAAAATTCATGCTGAGAAATGCCCCATCTGTAGATTTGTTAGTGTTGAAGTTTCAACATATGTATGTTCCAATAAGTAAGTACATGAAATAGTGCTAACCATAATGAAAAGTTACTGGACTCACGAGTTCTTAACTTCACATTTTATTTAAAAATATATGGTACTATATAATATAACAGCGTTGTTCTAATTATTTTATTAATGAAATAAAATCAAAAGACAATTTTTCTTCCTATCGCCAGACTTCGCGAAATATGTTCAGCAGAGGGTGTGGACGTGGGCGAGGGTGATATATTGCATCAGGCTGTAGATACATGTGAGGGAGACTTGCGACGAGCACTAACAGCCCTTCAGTGTTGCCAGAGACTGCTGGGGAAGATTACTGTTGAAGGTCTTGTGGAGGTATAGCTTCGTTATCACTATTATTCTCTCTTTTCGAATTGCTTAGTGTTAAGAATCTAGTCGGCATAATTATTTTTTATTGTGATTTCATGTTTGAAATACTCTGCATTCGTAGACTAATTTGCTATTAGAAATTAAAAGTTACTAATATTATGTAGAGTTTATAAAGTCTCTGTGAGTGAACATACTGATCAAATCGGTAGTGTACTGAAGAAGGACCGTGTTAAAAGCATCCATAACCGTCGAGAGTGTATGAAAGGCCTGATGAATGTGGAAGAGGCGGGCGCTGCATGTCAGGATCGTGCATCGTCTCTGCCTACCCCGGTCGTGAGTGTATTTATGTAGCATTTTAAATATATTAATATTCTTATTTTATATATTTTTTACTAGGTAACAGGTTTGGTACCTGACGTACTTGTCAACGAGTATTTAAACATCAAGAATTACAGTGAATTAGAACAGTTTGTGGAAAAGTAAGTAAACGTAACCAAATTTAATTATTTATATTTAAATTGTTATTTCCGTTTTCAAGTGTTTGAGACAGACGACATGAGGTCATTTTCTGCCAACAATTTGTACACTGGTACACACGACAAGAAATAACCTCTTACTATAAAATTACGTCACAACACTCATTCAAATAGTAATTTTATACAAGCATTCTATTAAGTGTGTAGTGCAGTAATCAGTAGTTTTGACATTAATTTATTGGCTCTTTTCCTTGCAAAGTATAATGTACGTAAGAGGTACAATTGGCAACAACGATTGGTCGGCGATCAAAGATTCGTTCAGATATGAATATATAAGTATCTGAACGTTATCTATAAATTATTTGGAATTGCAGTAAATATTATTTGACCTTAGTTACAACAGGAATTGCACGGATGGCATAGTGGTTTAAGCGGTCTCCTCGCCGCTTCCCTCTGCGCTAAGTGTTGTGGGTCCGATCCCCACATAGGACGACACTTTGTAAGATCCACAAATTGTTGTTCTCAGTCTGGGTGTTCTTTGTGTCCGTTTGATGTATGTTTGTAAACTCCCCCACACATGTATTCCTAATGCGGGACTTGTCTTTTTAAAAAAAAAAAGAAAAAGATTTTCCGATCTATCATTCGTTAGATTATTTCACAAACAGGTGCATGCGCTTTTCTGCTGCCAGGGGTATTATAATAATAATATAATAATTTTTCACACATTTCACACACGGCTATCTGATCTCAAACTAGGCAGAGCCTGTATTGGTATTGGTTGTGGGCTCCGATTGCCGCATTTAGACTCGAGAGTAGTCCTTTATGCGCCTAGAAGAGGTTGGCTAGGTGAGCCAACCAAGCTCCTTCCAGAAGCGCAGAAGCCTCCTGGGGCGTTCACAGGCTTCTAGGAGCGATTTTGTACCAGGTATGGCCACTCCCTCGTATTAAAGGATTACGTGGGCGGCCGTTTCTTCTGCTTTCAGGCATCCTCTGCAAAGAAGACTGTAGTTGTCGGTTCAGGGCTAGGTGTCCTGTTATGATGTCCTGTTGTAGTCCTTAATACCCTTTGATATGACCGTTGTGGCAGCGCAAGTTATTGCTAAACATTCGCATTGGAATATGGAACTGTGTTGGCCTAGCGCTAGTGATATGGTGTGATATGAATATGTTTAGGTCTTGTGAGAAAACTCCGGCGCCAGTTCCAGACCCAGTCTTGGAACCGTCCGTTTAAATTCGGACTTCGTTTTGTGCCAGATTGATCTCGGTCATTTTCTTGTGTCAGAATGTAATATCTCATTGTGCAGATATAGTGTTTTTTGGATCCTGTCGCATGGGGCTGCTAACAGTGGCTCATATTCCACCAATTGATCCCAAAATTTGGAGTGCGATCCCTCGTCTTTGTGCCACAGACCCATGGCTGCCTCCTGCTGAATGAACAAGTCCAAAAGCTAGAGTTTTTTGCTTTATTGAACATCTTTCTCACCTAAGGACGTAGTCTTTCCAGTTGTGCAGCAGTGGTGTGCCAGCTCAGCCAGCTCTGCATAGGCATGTTAGCGTCGCCCGGCAAGTAGGTTGATGCTATCACCACGTCAGGCAGGTCGAATGAGGGTTCCCTCATCCTAATAGTGATAAGGTTTCTGGAACAAAACTCGGCCATTATGGTGGTATAGATAGTTCAACTAAGATGTGCGCGCGGCCCTATGTGTGGGTAAACCTTGTACATATACAGTGACTTTGTGTGCGTGACAAGAGGTACAGTCGTACAAATACAAATATAGTTATTTACGGGTTATATACGGGTTTAAAAAAAAAAGAGTTATTTCGTAATGTAATGTTTATTTATTGAACATTATTCTGAATCGCTACTTGAAAAATCAAATGATGAATTTTCGGATTCGCTGCTCTCACCAAGGTTAATTATGAATTCTGACTCCATGTCAAAATGTCTATAGTATTCTTCTTCTTTCTTTTGTACATGTCGACAAGTATTACCCCACATCCCTTCATCAATTTGACTTAAACGTTCATTTATGAGTTTCATTATTTCCGTCACATTTTGGTCGACATTATGTGAAGCAATATAATTCTTTAAAATTCCCCACACATTTTCTATGGGGTTTAGTTCAGGATGATATGGTGGCAGTCGAAGAATTTTTATGCCATATGGCTGAAGTATGTCGTCAATCTTGTAACAGATATATTTTTCTTTATTTTTAAGCTATTGCATAGCTTCTATCGAGGGCCTTGAGCGCGGGGACCGAATCCAGAAATTCCGTAACGAAAAAAAACTTCACGCTAAAAACAAAACAAAAAACAAATAAAACAAATTGTAATATATGCTTCAATATTTTAATTTAATAAAAGAAAAAAAATGGTTTTCTTATTGGTCACCACGCTCAAAAAGTGTAACTTGAATTAATATCAAAGAAAAAGAAATACTGCATAAATAAAATAAATAAATAATTATAATTGCATAAGTTGATACAAAATGCTATGCAATAGCTTTACCGCGGCAGTCCCCGAGTGCCACACGTCTTTTTTAAATCAAATCATACAGTTCAATTTTTTCATATCTTCATTAAAAGCTAAATTTTTTTTCTGTCAGCCATCTCTGCATTTCTATTTTTTTGGAATTAGAATTTGGGGCTCTGTCATTTTGAACGTTATGGTATGAGGCATTATCAAGCACAACCACAGAGTTAGGTGGAAGATTCGGTACTAGACGTTCTTTTAGCCATCTCTCATATCCATTTTTCAAAGTTTTCTGCGTTCATGTTAGAGTGGTAATCACCAGAAACACTATTTGCTTTGTATGTCAATAGTGCGTTAGGTACGAAACCTTGTTCTGAACCAGCATACACAATGATAATTCTTTGTCCTTTCGACAGGTTTCTCTTTAAAGGTGGCCCATCTTTATTACCCCATCCTTTGTTTTGCACATAATCACGTGCAAAACAATACAGTTAAGATGTAGCTCTCATCTGTATATACGATGCACCGATTTTTTTGACGGTATCTAAATAAATTTTTTGGGTAGGAAAATCGTAGTTTTTGGATGTCATGCCGCTCTATAATAACACGTCTGTTAATTACAGTTTTTCGCCATTTATATCCCAACTTTAACAAAGCTGTACGCAGAGTCGAAATACTCTTTTCAACTTTAGCAAGGTAGGTAACTCGCGATGTTCTAAATGGTAATTTTGAATAGTGGAACGTATAAATTCAACGTTAAAGTTGTCTAATTCTAACTTTTTTAAACGTTTTTTACGGTCTTTATGCGGAGATTTAAATTTAGAGTCAGATTCTTTTCCTTCAGCCAATATATTAGTAATTGTTCTCTCTGATACCCCCACTGCCATTGCTGTTCTTTTCCGTACGCTATTTAAATGTTCACTTAATTTCGATATTAAAATTGGACTTGCACTGCAAACTGGATCACTTACTAGTTCCAATATATCTCTCGCATCTATTTTCTGAAATTTGTATACCTTAGCAATGGTTTCTCGAGTCTAAAACAATAATACGTAAACGTCAACAAGGATATATTTTTTCGTATATAGAATCATAATAAATATTAATTACATCTAAATTTAAAAAATATTTACCTGACTCCTTAAACATTTTCTCCGTGAAGAACTAGACATTTTCGTAAACGACTATACCATTAAGAAAAAGCGATAAGAACACGTCTTGCTCCGACGAAGACTGCCGCGTCACTGCCACACGAATGAAAGTTGTATATTTACAAGCCCACCCACACATAGGGCCGCGCGCACAACTGAGTTGAACTATCTATACGCACGTGTTTCGGTGTATAAATACAAGTGCGCGGGTTATCGATGTTAGTGCTGAGGAGTACCTTACCTCCAATATTGTTTCCTGCCCTTCCTAATCCACGGCTCCTGGATTAGGGCTCCGGAGGGAAGTCTAGAGAGAGCGTGATAGGTTTGGATCTTCTCCAGGCGATCTTGGCCTATTGGAGCACACCCAAACCCGCCCAGGCAGAGCCTGTACTATGATATTTCTAAATACATTTTTTTTTTTTGACATTCAAATTATAGATAAAGTACACAAAATCTAAGATATTCGTATCCCGTGGTTTACCTTATGACAAAATATTATTTCTTATAATTGTAATTTTGATTGTCTTTTTGTTGTTATTTCTGGAATCTTCCATCATTTCCAGGTTCCTAATGGAAGCCTACTCCGCGTCGCAATTACTGGAACAGCTAAGCGCTACAGTAGTGACGGCTGGACACCTCACGAATAATCAGAAGTGCGCAATTAGTGAAAAAGTACCAGTTTGCGCTCATCGTTTACTAGATGGTGGCGCGGAGGTTATGCAGATCACCGATCTAGGATGCACTATCATTATGGCCAACAATAATCCTTAGAAATTACGTTTTAGTTAAGAGTCTGCAACTTTTAACTCTTTAAAAGAGTTGTGGTTGTCTTTGTTTGTGAAACCTATCGTTTTTTATTTTGTAAATTACAAACAAAATACATCTTGAAAAGTTTTGTTTGATTTTAATAGTATAATAAGGCAGAATATCTTTATATTCTTTAGCTAGTAGGATAAGATTTGATCACGTTATTATTTTAATTTTTTCGTCCCAGGTAAGCCAGTTTAATTTATAATCCATTTTTTTTTGTTTATGATAATGAAATTAATGATAATGAATTAATCATTATCATTAATTTTGTATTGATAAAGATAAATCGCAGTTTTCCATCCCAATACATATTTTTGTTGTTGTTCGGTATTTTTTCTTTTGAAAACCAGAGGGTAACTTTTTTTTTTTTGCTATGCATCAACAATCATGGGACAAATGGTTTACAAGTCTGAAGTTTTCAAGAAGAGCGGTTTTCAAAATAATTTAATTATTGGATAGGTATAAAACAGCAGAAAAGAAATGTCAATTGAAAGTTCTCGATACTAGTATAGTGCTACCATAACTGCCGAATCACCGACCGGGACGTTTGAGAACTGTAAAAGGTCCATGAGAACTGTAAAAATCCATGGACAAATCTCAAAAACTCGATGAATATAAAACTTTAATAATATAGTTGTATTTTTAAATCAGACTTTTGTACTTGGTATTTATTAGATTAAGAACTTTTAGGTTTCATTTTTGGTACAGTGTTTCACTAGCTAATCCCACCCTCTCCCTTTCTACCCAGAACAACGTGCCGGTCGTCATATACGACGATGCATGTGCACTTAGCTACTAAACCGGGACAAATGGCTCATCGACTAGGACACCGGGACATAACGCTTCAAAGCGGGACATGTCCCGGCGTACCGGGACGTATGGCAGCCCTACACTAGTATCAAGTCGTGACAGTTTGTCATAAAACAATTATAAGAAAGACAGCAAAAGTACACACCTAGCGTGGAAGAACGATAAAAAAGCAAAACGAATCATACATGTACAAAAACGTAGTAAGACCAATATGGAAATTAAAAACGGAAAAATGTAATAATAATAACTAGACATATATCACTGAAAGCCAATTCTCATAATACAAGTTCGTACGAACCTTTATCACGAGAATGGGCCTTCTGATCCCAAGCCTGTACTATGGATATATCTCTAGAAAGGTATTTAACATTGAATTAAATTTTCAAATAAAACTTAACTGAGTATATTTCTTAAAAGAACACCACTTTTTGAAACACACATTAAACTTATGTCCGTGTGGTAACGGATTAAGAATACAGATTATCACCACCGAGCCGACTAAGGGAGCAAACTACGCAGGACAACAGCACTGCAAAGAGAGAAAACTTGAAACAAATCCTATACTAACCCGTAGTAGTTCAAAGCCTCCTTTCTAAGGAGAGGCCCAGCGGTGGACTGTTGATGATGATAAAGTATTATAGGGAAATATAAAAATAAAGTTACCACAGAAAAAAGTGTTTTTATATGTAATCCTTTAAAAAATCTTATTTAACACGCTGCCAACCCCCTTCGGGGATAATTTCGTAAGTGTATTTGTTTCTTACTTTCCGTGTCTTGAGTCACTAAAGGTTCTAAAAATACACACTACTATTGTGAAATTAGACGTTCCATTTCCTTATTTTTACGAGTAAAATAACTTAACCCCGCTCTCATTGGCCTTTACGTCTTGGTCAGACGATTTCAATTGCGTCTTTATGGTAACTTTTAATATGGCTGCGTAGTCCGATGCGAAAGCGGCAGAAACGTCCACACGATTGGCATTTAAGTTTGGAATCGTTTCGAATCGGCGGCATTGCTGGTAAATCGATCCTCTCGGTCATATGTCTTCCCACGCCTGTCGGCTAAAGCCTGGAACCATCTGGTGTCGTGTATTTTAAACGCAACTGAATCACTATAATATACATAAATATATCAATCTTGGTTTTTATAAATGGTGAATTTTGATACGGAATAATGATTTGTGTAAGTGAGGTTACCGGAGCCCAAACTCTCTTCCTCCCCTGATTCTAGGGGAAGGACTGAAGGGGTGACAACGCACTTATCACTTTTGAGTTGCAGATGCCCATGGGCAGCGGTAGTCACCTACCATTAGGTGACCCGTCTGTTCGTTTGCCCCCCTGTACCATAAAAAAAGAATATTAACAACTCTTAAGTACGTTGTACACGTTGACACGTGTTTGAAAACAGTACAATTGGTTTGGTTTGAAATAAAAAAAAAAGTATTACGAACTTTCGATACCTAGTTCCAGTACATTGCATATTTAATGAGACTATGAATACATGTTATATGTTCCGAACCTAGATTTTTCTTTTCTTTATATTGATGACTAGTTGTACCTTGGCACGCTCGTATTGATGATAAATGAGAAAAACCTAACGTGAAAAATAGATAAAAACAATATTTGATGCGGGTTGCATATGGTGTCAACGTTTAAGCTCAATCGGTGCAAAACTCATTTTGAAGCGTACGGCACGGTACCTACTTTACGAAGCGTTGGTTGTGGGTTTGTTTGATTGGCTTGTGATTTTAAGTAATTTAAAGAGCAGGAAGATGGAGCTTTTTAAATTATTTAAAATGATAAAGTATTTTAGATTCTTTTTTTATTAACGATGATCAATTTTTCAGTAGCGGCAGCGGTTATCTGATTTGAATTGTTCAAACGGATTAAGCTACATTTCAAGATAGTTCCAACCTTATTTAACACGATTTTATTAGCTTGACTGGCAACAAATCTTACAAAAAAATCTTGGCAAATTAATTTTGAACTTCTAATTGTCGTAGTCTTATATGTAGTGGATACTAAAATTGGACATTATAGAGCTGATCTAATGATTTAGAAAGGAGGTGGATAATGGAACTCGGTGAATACTGGTAAGGTCATCGAGTTTGGACTCATATGATTGTTATGATACTGTTTAGTACATTCTTCGTTTTTAATGGACTTCAACTCGATTCGACTGTATTTTTTTGTATGTTACCGGACAACGTATTTCCTCTTTTTTCTCAAGCCAAACAGGTATTTGCGTTTGGTACTCATTATCTTATGTAGCTGAGCTGATGATAGTCGGGTCCTTGACTTTTGAGAGTTAGGGGTTAACTCTTTCAATAACGTAATTAAGTACCTATTGAACTTTATGTTCCTACAAGTTAATCGTATTTATGCATTCATATATATACGTCATACACCTACTCACTAGTTTTAACCGGGCTTTGTCAAATAAAGAGGAACCAAGTTATAACATGTCAAACCGACTAAACTAATAATTATGCTTTTTGCCATTGAGACTTAATGGGTAATGAAGATTCAAAAACCAAAACGAACTTATTTGGTATATTGTCTTTTAACATACTATTTGCGAAAATGAGTAGGTAACTACAACACTTTTTACATATTACTTTCATTCATAACAACGGCCGTTTAAATTGAGTTGTTGTTAGGTTGAACTAGCTGTGTCGAGGGCCCGCGCTTAGCTAGCATCAAGTTTGCAGTTTACGCGCGCGTTCATTTCACTTCCGTTGTCGGTTGAACGGTCGGCCGAGTAGGAAAGAAAGAAAATAACGTTCGTAAAGAAAAGATAATATCGGGCGGCGCGGTGGTTCGCCCCTCCACGTCACGCCTAGCGCGCTGTGTTGTGATTGGTAGGCGAAGGTGCGGTGCGGAGTGGCGCGCCCCCCTCTCGCGCGCACGCGCAGCGTCTAACTTTCCAGATTTCAAATCTCGACCGTTTATTTCGTAGTGAGCGGGCGTAGCGTGCAGGCCGCGCTCTCGACTGCGCGCGCCGCATACATACAATCATGATTGTTTAAAAAAAAAACATGGCAATGTGCTCGTGACCGATTCGGTGCTACAACGTGACATCGCTAACGATCAGTGCGTGCAGTGCGTCGTGCTCAGCCAGCGGTTCTTCAAAATCAACAATCGACGGAAGAGTCAATTTCTTTCGATGAGTGGAGGTTTAGTGCATGTTTTTCGTATCATCATGACTAGATCCACACTCATCCATGGAAGTTGCGTGGTTCTTCAATGCGGAGCGGCGACGGCGAGCGATGACCGTGAGCCGGTGATTACGAGTGGCTATCATTACTGGTGCGCGTAATGATATGTTCAGCGTCAGGTACGCGCTCTAACGCAGAACGACCTCCGCGCCTCTACCTGGTACATACCGTCCAAATAATGTCATTTAGATACACTCTGCGGCGGTTAGCTATTGGTTGTTGAATGTAAGTTTTTTGTAGCTGTTTTTCAACAATTTCAAAGGTAAAGAATCATAGTTTTTTGGCTAGTTAAGTCACGGTCTATTCTGTTGTCAAGCGTCAATTTCAACGTTTCTTAGAGGTAAACTCAGGTTATCGGCGTCTACTGAAAATCTCACGTGCGGCCGGGGTGAGCGTACAAGGGTGAGGGGAAGGGAGCGGCAGATAGCGGCGCAGGCGCATCTGCTCCTTCTGAGAAAGGCCATTGTGGCGGTCTCAGAGTGGTCAGTGCGGTGACGTCACGGGCCGGGGCCGACAACCTTCCCCCCTCGCAACGAGTCCCCCACCCCGCTGGTTGTACCTACATAACATTGAGGTACATCCGACACTTCGCGAATGCTTCTTTAAAGATTAGTTTGCAATTTTGCATGTTACTTGTTAAGTGTTTTTGTTGACCATGTTGTTAGTAACACATGTTGTTTCCGGTAACGTACCTAATATTTGACGTTTTGCACACACTCGGTATTGACCAATAAGGATAATTATTCAATTGCCGTAGGAAATATTTCTTTTTATCATATAAGTAAGTCCTAATATTCTTCTGTCGCATTAAGAGTCCATATAAGGAATGCTTTAAAATCTGGCGGGAAAACTTGGGAGCGTGCCTTCTTCAATTACCTAGAAGATACCAAATTTTTATAGAGCTTGCAAACTGTATGTTTGGAAATAATACGAC